GTTGCTGCTGCTGCTGTTGCTGCTGCTGCGGTTGCTGCTGCTGCTGTTGCTGCTGCTGCGGTTGCTGCTGCGGCTGTTGTTTTTGTTTTTCTTTAAAAGTAACTTTTGATCTATAAGTATCGAAATATTTAATTTCCATTTTAGAAGGATATTTTTCTTGAAGATCTTTAAATTTAGCACTCAAAGATGCTTGCCATGACCATACTTCCACCATCCATCCATGTTCTAATGCTGACAATACAACCTCAGGAAAACTTGTACGATTATCATTTCCATTTCCATCACCGCTAATTAATATCAAATTTTGTTCTGCGTGCTTTTTTTTCGGATTATTTTTTAAAATTAATTTTTGTATTTGTGCATGCAACATATCGTCTAAGAACACTTCCTAAAATTACAAAAGCACGACAATATAACGTACTTAAAAGATGTATCTGTTTACAGAAGATTGAGAAAAAAAACAATTTTTCTTACTTTATTATTCATTGATCGATCACCTAGTAAACATGCATAGTTGCATTTTTCCCACTCAGTCCAAGCTCGTGCTTTACGAGGCGGAATACTACCACCAACGATTCTTGTCTTAATATTCAGCTTTTTTTTGTCTTTCTCAATAATATTGGCTAGATTTGCAACGTTAATACGAATAGCAGCATCTTGTTGTCCATCTATACCTTGACCCAATTGAGCACCAATGAAAAGATTTGAATTATCAACAACAATATGTATGTCGGATGGCACTCTAAGATGGAAAATATTTTATTGAAATATGAAAAGAATGGTCTGTTCAACTTGATCTACCTTGAAGTATTGGAACCATCACGAACAGGAGAAGACATCTTTTCGGTATGGTAAATATGCTAATCAAATTAATCTAGGTATAGAATGTAACTTATCATTTTTTTGTTAAATCCTCTTTGAAGAGCTTTGATAATTTCAAGCACTTATTGACTGTTAATACCGGATTATGTGTGAATGAGTTTGCATTCTGTGAAGGATATGGATTCAAAAAGTCCATTTATTTTATGTTTACATAGATAGTCTACTGTTCCCACAGATATATTGAATAATATAATTTCTGCGATCAGATAAATATTAAAAAAAACTATATTTTTACGCAGAAAATGTTCATTTTTTTCAACGTCTGCCTGTTTGCTTACCTGAAATACATGCCATCGTTATATACGCAGACGGCGAACGATAAGAACAGACTTATTTTAATGTTTCTTTTAACAATTCGGAGAAAAAGAAAACTGTGTATCGCACGTGGTAATGTGCAGTTGTGCTTTTTATATTTAAGTAAACACGTCGTATTTTTGTCTTTGGACATTTTTTTGACGAAGAAAGTTTCATTCTATTAGTTTTTATCATCATTTTTTCTTTCTTTTTATATGTTTTGTACGTGGCTTGCATTACACTCAAAACAATCGATGTTGTGAGCATGTGTCGATGAGTGAGAGTTCAAGTGAAATAGAATACCTTTGATCAAAACTACTAAAATAAAATTTCAAAAGGGATAGGTGTGAGTATTGTATTTATATCTTGCTCACCTTTATTTCTAACTCAAATTCTCAAGATTAAATAAATGATTTCAATTATTTTTTCCTCATTTTATCATTAATCATTGATCGCATTGATAGAGAAGAAAATGAACTAGTTGGTTAAGACTTTTACTTTTTGTACCTAAATATTAGATGAAATAATCTTTTCAATTGTCTCTCATCAAAAAAAGATTGTTTTCGATAAAATAGAAATTAAATTATGTTGAAAGAAATATTTTTATTATTATTGTTAGAGACAAATTGTATATCAAATAATCTATATAATTATCATATATATTGCATCAAAGAAATTAGTAGCTTCAAACTAAAGTAAATTACTATAACAAGAATTAGGATAGAGAATAGTAAGATCAACGTGTATTCATTTCCGTTAATTCTCTTGTATCCTTTTTATTTTAGAAAATATATAATTGAATAATATAATAGGTTTTATGAGACACGAAAAAATATTTTGGTTAAATCATAATGCTAGAAGTGATTATCAATAAATTCTTTAATAACAATGTATCGTCAATAATGAAATAAGTTGAGGGTGTGGGTGTTCCTTCTTCGTTAACACACCCACACCTACCCTCAAGATTCGTCTTCTGATTTTAGAAGCTCATCGACTTTTTTCAATTGATCGACTGAATATACACTAATATTCTTTAAATTGTCAGCCTAAATAGAAAAATATTTTAGAAAAATAAAATTTAAACATTTCTATTTACTGAATTTAGAATTTAACATTAAAGTAATGAAATCTCTTGGTAAGTTGAGGGTGTGGGTGTGGATAAGGAAAACATCCAGACTCACACCCACACCCTCAAATTCAGCTTGTTGTTGGTCCTGGAGCATTTTGATCACGCCAGTTTTCTCAAAATATTCATAAATACGCCCAAAACGTTCTGCTTCTTCTTTACTTAATGCTTTTTCTTCCTTCAGTTTAATTTTGTCATCACTATCTGCTTTATCACACGCTTCTTTTAATCGCTTTGGTTCTTCGACATAGAATTTGGATAAAGTTGCTAATTCTTGTATCTAAATACAATGCATTTTTAATATTAATTAAATAAATTTTTTTACTTACGTTCACGAATTCATTCAACATTATTTCTACGAATTTTCGTTTTGAACGTGTTGCCATTGGTTTTATTAAATCTAAATTAAAAAACATAAAATTATATGTGTCCCAGTGAAAAATGTTCGATTATAATCAGATTATTTTGCAACAAAATCAAGATTAAAATTGATTATAATTTTGAGTTTTGCAAAAAATCGTTTGTAATCTGATGAAAAATCGGATTTTAATCAAATTATGAACGATTTTTTGCAAAACTCAAAATTATAATCAATTTTAATCTTGATTTTGTTGCAAAATAATCTGATTATAATCGGACATTTTTCATTGGGGTGTTTATTCTAAACATTACGGACGTCGTAAATGGTCACTACCCTTGATAGAATATTCTATCGATAAAGACTTTAACCTTTTCTTTCTGCTTTAATACGAAGACTATATAACGACTCACACCCATATTCTCAAATTCAGCTTGTTGTTGTTGTTCATGCTGAGTTATTTTTAATCACTTCAGCTTGTTCCAGATATTTGCAAATAGCGTAGAACAAATCTGTTTCTGTTTTTAGTAAAGCCTTCTCTTTTTCCAATTGAAGTTTTTTAACATCATCTTCTTCAACTTCATAAGCTATATTAACACGAGTAACTTCGTCTGTTAAGTACATACTCATCATTTTCAAATCTTCGATCTAAATATAAAATGTATTTTCAATAATATAAATTTTTTTATTTACATTTATATTTGGATTGATGATTAGCAAGAATTTTCGCTTTGTCGCCGACATCATGGAGAATTTATTAAAATCTAAAATATTAAAAACAATCCATATACGATAAAAATCGAAAAGTAAAGTGAAGAGAATGTATGAGTGTATAGCTTGTTATTTTACGTGGAATAATTGTTTGAATAAATGCCACTTTCTGTAAATAATTAAAAAGGTCATAAAATTTTTTTTCTTCATTCAACAGGATATTTTCTTCTTTGAGATGCTTCCCTATATCATCTTGTGTCGTTGCTAATTTAATAGTTTTTTGATTTTTTTCTATCGAATTTGTTAAATATTCACTAATTTCTTTTAATTTGTTTTCCTAAATATAAAAATATATTACAAAATCAATATTTAAATATTAATATTTACTTCGAATTTAAAACATAAAACATCTTATCATATATTCGTTTAAATAAAAAAATTGAGTGCAGAGAATATACTATTTCTAATGATGGTTTTAATCGTTATATTGAAAAACAGCTATGTTAATATCTTCAGGTGATGTTACCTATCACAGAACCACCTGGGTAAAATTTCCCGCACGCCCCCCTCGATCTCCCTTGGAATCTAAGGAAGCGTCGTGGAAAGTTTGGTAATCGTAGCTATTACAGGGACTGAATGCATAGCCAACAAACAAATAGTCATCTTTATATATATATAGATAAAATAAATTATACAAATTTATTTACTTTTGTTGAAAATTAATAAGATGTGCGTTTGAACTATCACATCCTCAGAACTGATCCGGCTTCGCAAAGTTTAGAGCCTTAGTGGAACATCTTATTACGCGATATATCAGGTCTCTTTCTGATCTTTGGCATAGATAATTAGATCTTGTCTACTGATCCTCTAGACTTTCAAGATCTTGCGTTACTATCTTACGATATATCGAGGGGAAAACAACAGAGACTTCATGCATGAAGTCTTGAGAAATCTATTGAAGTTTATGAAGTCTCTTAATTTAATTTTTTCAGTCTGTTTAGGATCTAAGAAGTTATAACCGAAAAATATTAGATAGAAAGAAAAATCCCATTGTCTATTGATTATAAAGTAACATGACATCGTCAATATTCGTTGACCCTTCATTGTTCTCATATAAGGCAGGAAGAAGAAAAGACAAATATATATATATAGATTGATATGAGTACATTGTATGAATTAAAGATGAACAAATGCTTGAATATACTCGATTTACCTGATGAACTTTTACTTATTATTTGTAATAAAATGAATATAGTTGATGTTCTATATTCACTTGTGAATGTTAATCAACGACTTGATCAATTAGTACTTGATCCTCTTACTATTCGTAATCTTGATATGACTATTAGAACTTTTGAATCGGTATATGATCAGATCTTTTCAATAGATGATAAAATTCTTTCAAAAATATGTGATCAAATCTTATGTCGAATTTATGATCAAATAAATGCACTTACTATTGAACAATATTCAATAAAACGTATTCTTCATGCTACTGATTATCCTCAACTATATTCATTATCACTCATTAATTTTGAAGGAAAAATACTTGATCAATATTTAACAGGTAACGTATTCAATTAATAAAATAATAATAATTGTTTTTCTTTTAAATTGTAGATGATTCTATTCTTCGTGATTTGCTTAGTAAACAAATAACACATCTTAATATTGATATAAAGAATGCAAATAGAGAATTGACTGAAATTACAAGAAAAATTTTTGTATTAATTTTATCTTTATGTAAAAAATTAACTGAATTAAATTTTTGTGATTTATTTTTTGAACGAAAACATTGGAATTATATTTCTCGTTTAACAAGAACAAGTTTAACGTCTTCAACTTTAACTAAATTAAAAATTAATCTTGCAACATTTGCTGACTGCTTGTTTCTTCTTAATGGAGATTTCGAATGTTTAACAACATTAATTGTTCATGTGAAAGTGATTTTTTCTTCAATAGAACACATAGATAATACAGTATGTATTCAATTTCAATTATCATTTTTATAAATTAATTCTCATGATATTTTCAATGTTAATATTCTTTCTAGAAAAAACTCCCCAAATTAAAATATTTGTCGTTTATTTCACCTGATTACACAGATAAACATGACACTCAAGTTTTTCCATTTATTCGTCGAATGATAAATCTTGAAGAATTAAAGTTATATTTATTAATAGACGTATATGATGCAAATTATATTGATGGTATTCAATTATATAATGAACTTCTTTGTCATATGAATAAATTAAATCAATTTACATTTAACATTCAGACACGTACCTATCGATGTTACACTGATATTAACTTTTCATCAAATGAAGATATTCAACGTAGTTTCATTGGAAAAGACATATATAAACAAATTGATTCATATATCAATACTAAATCATGTTTTCGATCAAAATGTCATATTTATTCACTTCCATATCAATTCGAATATTTACTTGAAATTAATAATTCTTTTCCAGGAGGTACGTTTCATACAGTTCGACATTTGGAAGTTATTGATATATTTCCTTTTGAACATAATTTTTTTCAAATTATCTCTCATGATATACCTTTTATCGAAACATTACGTATAGATAATGATAAACCACAAAAATATAAACACTATTCATCTACTGAACTAATTATGTTTCCTTATCTTAAACGTCTTAATCTACAATCGGCACATGAAGATTATGCTGAACAATTTCTCTTGAAGAAAATAACTTATCTACCTTATTTATTTAACCTTAACATCAAATGTGAATCACTAATAATGATAACAAACAATTTTACCATTGATACAACATATTTTAACTCTAGTAGAGTAAAACATCTTTATCTAAATCACTCACTTCATTCAGAAAATCTTTGTCAATATTTTCCTATGTTATAAATTGTTTCAATAAAGAAAAGTTTGATAAAATTGTGTATTTTTTATTGAGATGTACTATTTTTCCAAACGTTTGTTGCCATTATTGTTGTAAAACAAAAACATTAAAGATATTCGATTTGGTACATGAGTGGTTTCGTAAGTTGTTGGTGGCAATGTTTTTTTATCAGTATATGACTAAATGAGTGGGGAGAGGGCTTTAACTTGAATACAAAATAAAGTTTATATCAGAATTATAATAAAAGACTTGCCATCATCAAAGAAGATAAAACTAATATTCTTTCGTACTCATCAACAAAAATGACAAACCAACATGAGATCATGTGGAATTAAATCTTTTCTAGCAAGATGTAAAGTATTAGAATACTGATGCAACTAATTTATAATTATAAAATGAATAAATAATATAGTATGAAAATAAAAACAAAAAGACGAAATTTCTCAAATGATATTTAACTATTTCGAAAAAGAGAGTAGACTCAAGACGGCAGTATCAAGTTTTCTACAGAAGAAGATCCCCTTATTCCAAAGTGTCTAAAATAATCTTAAACTATGTCGTTATTTTCTCGTATCAAACTTAGGATGTTGAACTTTAACATAGTTTCATTAATTAGAACATGATTTTATAAGAATCCGTTTCGTTGACATCTGAAGAGTCATTTAAACTCTTTGAAAATTACCTGTATAAAAATCAGTATTCTATCAATGCAATTATTTTCAGAGAAATCTTGAATTAATAAACGAAGAGAAGACAAATAAATTTTAGTCTTTTAAATTCGACAAGTATGATCAGATGGATTATATTTTCGTTTTACAACAGAATTAATAACTACTAAAAGAAATAACATTACTTGAAATTCGTTAAGGCTTTTATTATACCACGAAATGATAGGTAACACGATGTCTGACAAACTATAAAATGTATACGAAACGACATCAAACATTAAGTTTTAACTATTTACGTCATCGTTGGTATTACGGCGTTTGATCTTCCATGAATTATTTTCTTTACATACTCTTTTAATGGGTCTGTAAATTGAAATAGAGCAATCATTACATATGCCATTGATGCATCAGCAAATATATAAGCAATACGAAAATGATATTTTGGTGGAGTAGTGAAAAATGATATAAACGTAAACAGTACATAAGGAAAACCAAGTGTAACAACACCAATGACAAGGATAACGATACGTCGAACCATCTTCAGTTCTCGCTGAGCACGAAATAAAGTATTAGCAGATATTATATGTCTACTCATTTCTCTCACATATCGAACCAATCTAAAATAGATTAACATTGTGAGAGACACGGGAACCACACAGACAAAAAGTGCGTTGTAAACTGTTAAAAAAGACAGTCGAAGAGGCATTTGACAGAATTGATTATCAACATTGTATGTGATTGCATGAGTGAGTATATGTGGTAGTGGACAGACAAAGCCAAATATCCATGTAATACTCATAAGTAAAACTTGAAATCGAGTTGATTGCCAAAATAGACGAGTGGGATAAATTACTATGATATATCGGTAAATAGCTTGAAGTAAAAAAGAATAAAACTGTAGAGCAGCCACGATATAACCCATGAAACCTCGAAAAACACAAAGTGAATCTTGATATTGAATTTGTTTAATATCATTTTGAAATGTGAATATAGCCATACTGATTGAAATACTTCCAAAAGCGAGTTCAGCTAAACATGAATTTGCAACGAGCATCATTGATACTGTATGACATGTTTTATCAAGAATAATAATGATTAAAAATAACATAGCTAGGATAACGGCAAAAACACTACACACAATCATAACAATATCGAAAGGAATAAACCATGATTCGATGTTTGTTGTCATTGAGTTATTGTCAAATGACATTGCTGCTGGTTGTGGTTATAGTTTTGAGAAAAGCTTATATAACTAGTGTGACGTTGAATAAATAAACTCTCTGATTTATTCAAGTGCAATATTTTAATGAGTTCTACAAGCTTCAGAGATCTTAATATAGTCTATATCTCCTCATTCATCCAAGTCGTGTTTTATAATTGTGTTTTTTTTTCATTTAGTTTATTGTACCATGATGAAAGGTTCATAATCTATTATTATGAACACAGACAATTATTACGTTTAGAACAGTAAATGCGTATTTTGTCATTGCGAAGATGTACCCATATGTAAAAACAAAGTTGCATGAAAGGATGAAAAAAATGATGTTACATATTCATCAAGTTCAAACTTATGTTGTAATGAAAAAAGTAATCTCGTTATTTGAGTAAAGAAGAAATAAACAAATGATTTTGATATCTCATTTTTGTTTCCACACTATGTAATCAAGAATATTGATGTAAAATAAATACGAATATATCAATTATTTCCAAGACTAATGTATCAGAGATATTCTATTAGATAAAAGAAAATATAGGATCAAGTAAACACAATTTTCTTGTGTGTTTAGTGCATTCTCACGTTCAGTCACAGAATGGAACTGTACTTACTTGAATTTTGACAAAGTTGTCTTATAATAACTCAATTAGGAAGAAAATCAGGTTCAATATATACAGAAAAAAACGTCTAGATTCA